GAATTATTCATGATATATACATAGCTGATTCATGATAATTAGATTAAAATTTAAAATTAAAAGTTTAATAAATATTAAAATACTAAACTTTCCCCATGAATATTACAAAAGAGTATTGGTTATGAGATTGATGTTTTGTGTGTTAGTAGGTGATGTTATTATTATTTTTTTTTTTTTTTTTTTTGAGGAGGTAATATGTGATATATTATTATTATTATTATTATTTTGAGAAGGTAACATGTGACACTGAAAATAATGATTTCTTATAAAGAGAATCTTTTTAAAGTGAATGCAATCCCATTTGTACCTCTCTTTTTTTACATAATAAATCTCATTTGTACTTTTGAGTTATTATCTTTAAATGTTAGTTTTCTGTACCTCAAACATACCAGCTCTGTTTTTTAATTTAAACGGTATATGTCGGGGGATATATATTAGTTACTTGGGAAGTGTTTTGGGGAGTTTCAATCAGAGTTTTGTTAAATTTAAAAAATATATATATATATAATTTTGATGTGTTAAAATTAAAAATAATTTTTTAAAAAATATATATTATTTTAATATATTTTTAAGTAAAAAATATTTTAAAAAACAATTATTATCTTAAACACCCTTTTAATTTACTAATTAGGTCATTAACATGTTATCCTATTTGTTTTTAGTTTTTTGATTAAAATAATATTATTTTTATTTTTTAATGTTTTTTTATCATCAAATCAAACCTTTTTATTTATTTTTGATATCAACTCTACCCCATGTCAACTCCCCAGGTTTTAAAATAATGATATATATAGCATACAATTCCTATAGTTTCCACAATTTATTGTGAGTGGGCAAGCATAAACTCTAAGCAATGAAGTAAACTAATATATATATAAGTGAATTGACCAAGTTCCCACAATTGATTTCCTCGTCCTTTCTTTTTTTGGGAAAGATAAATCCACACTCTAATCTCTAACATCATGTGTTCACTAGCCACAAATGTGTTCACTAGCCAATGAGGCCTTACTTCTCACTTTCTCAAGCTTTCCATGCTTCAATCTCAATCACGAAGGCTTTTATATTAATCACTCACCGAGAAACAATGAAGAATCCAGGCAACCCCACCAATTCATGATCAAGCTTGCTTGGAGAGAGCAGAGTAAGGCAGCACCGAGAAGAAATCATTAGATCAGCAAATCACAATTGAGCAAATTCGTGTGAGGACATGGATAGAACTTTTTTCTGATACAGAAAGCTTGGTTGGGCCTAGTAGTTTATAATGGCCCCATACACAGATTGTGTTGGATTATTGTATAATGTTCTTCAAGAGTGACTAATTTGGGCCAAATCCCAGGTAAAAGATGATGAACAAGAACAAGTGGGGTAGCATTTATCAATGGACTAGGCCTGGCCTAGGGGATCGAGCCTTAGGATGATAGATGAAAATCTCAGGTCAGCTCCCACCACTGCTGTGAGGTTCAATCTTTTCTCAAAGAAATTTGAGAGAAGTGCTAGAATATTAGCAATTTATCATCAATAAACAGTGCATCTATAGCACATGCCATGAGTTTCATGTCCCCTAATTTAGCTGACGAAATAACCTGATTAAACCCTGGATTTTATTCAAACATTACTAGCTTTGAATAATTTGTTTAAGGATCCTTTATATTTTTTTGATCCCCATTTACAAAATCCAGCTCGTGAATTAATTTGGTGATGTATTGATCTAGAGTCTGATACAAGACCGATCCAAGACCGGGTTTTTTTGGTTATATATACCACCATTGTTCAGTTTAAAAAAACAAACGATATTTTTATTTTCCAACCTAAAACAACTCGGATTAACAGGAACAACATATGATTTGAATCAGTGTTACATTACCATTCCATGTTTGATTGTATTTCTTGAGAAGCAACAGTGGTAGAGGAGCATGTTCCACAGCTGTGAACAGGTTTCAAAGAGCACGTTTTAGTACAGAGAAAGCAAGCAGAAGGAGCAGAAGGGAGTGAGTCAAGCATAATGAATACCATGTGCTTCTCATTTTTAACTTCGGTTTCACGCTTGCATCTTTTGTGTTCTTTTTATAATATGACAAAAGCCCCACTAGACTGCTGCTGGCTGCCTCCATGAGTGACTGGGGCATGCCTTGTCTCTCCCCACCTTCTCCAATTCTCCCTCGAGGGCGTGCCCATCTCCCATTACTCGGCATTTCCCATGTACTTTTCCACTTTTCAAAAAACTAGGGGCGTTTGTAAAACCATATTTTTGTATTATTAACAAAAACTCCAAAATCCTTGCGTGTTTCATTGCAGCTCGAGACACCATTTATTGAAATTATCATGGTAATTTTAATGAAAAAAATGAAGTCCTCAGGATTGAGGTTTTTTTTACTTACCTATTAATCATTAAAAAATTTACAAGAGTGTTTATAATTTTTTTAAATTTTCCAACACGACAAAAATATCCTCTCAAATCAAATTTAGAAATATCCACTTGCTTCTTAATAGCAAAAATAGTTATTTGCCCCGTGGTCAAAACATTGTTGAGCTATTGGAATAGAATTTTTTTTTTAAAAAAATATTTATATATATATTAAAAATATTTCTTTAACCTAAAGAAAAATAAGAAAATAAACTTTGCATTTACGTGTATTTTTATAATTTCATATAAGTATTTTATATAATTATCAAGATTATAAAGTATATTTTATTATTTTTATATATTTTTATATTTTTTAATGAGAAAAGCTATTATACATCAACAAGTGTGTGATATTTATTTTATTTAAATGACATGTATAATACCACTCGGTGGAAAAAATTAGATTTTTGATATTGATAGTAAACTATATATTAAATTTTTTTTAATATTTTTTACCATTGATTAAAAATATATTAGTTTAATATTTTTTATTATAAATATATCTTATTTTATTTTGATGCCAAGCTTTATGTTAGATTTTTTTATGTAAAAAAGTAATTTATCTTTTTTATTGAAGAGAAGAAGAAGGTAACTAGAATTTAATAAGATATAGAAATTAGATCTATTATTATTGGAAGGTGTTATGGTATCTAAATTATATGCTAGAGATCCCTTTTTAAATGTGACCCATGAAAAACAATAATACAAGTTTAATCCGTGAATATATGTAATATTCACATAAAAAGGTAGTCCAACATGAAATCTCCAACCCACTTAAATCTAAAAACATTAAATTAATTAAGTTTATAATTTATAAAATATAAAAAATTAAATTAAATATAATTACATAACCAAATCCATCCAACTAAATCCAATCCCACTGGATCTATCAACTCCCATCTAATATCCAAAAAATTCCCGCTTTGTTCTATCTCATCATTGATTCTTCCACCATTGATTCTAATCAGAATGGGATTTGGGTCCCATTTAGGAAATATCCTAGTATGGATCCATTGATAGGAACTAATCGTGTTAAATGTGGATCAGATCTTCACCTACTGGGGCGGCTTGGATTGATTGATGGCCGAGGACGCTGGGCTCCATAATTTATAATTTTTGGATTAATTTGTAACGTTCAGGAACCGCGTGCCGTGTTCTTGAAAAAGTTATTTTTTTTTATTAAAAATTATTATTTTTAAATATTTTAAATAAGTTTTATATCCTAATCTCAAAAATAATTTTTTAAAAAATAAAAAATATTATTTAAATGTATTTTAGTATGAAAAATACTTTTAAAAAGAATTATAATTATATTCTCAAATAAATCTAAATGATTATTTATTTTTTTAAAATATTTTAAATTAATTTTTTGATATTACAAGATTTTTTAATTTTTAAATTACAAGAATACTTTCTTTTTCTTCATATCATATCATGTATGAAGTCTACGTCTTGCCTTGCATCACTGACACAAGTTATTCCTTATCATATTCCTAATTTTAGACCCTTCATTTCTAAGATTTGAATCTCCATAATTTTTTAATAGATTTTTAAGTCTTAATTTGACTTATTTTCTTAGTGGGACAGGTACATGTTTGCTAGTATCACTCGTGTGTTTTAAAAATATATTTATATTAAAAAATATTAATTTTTTAATTTTTAATGTATTAATATTAAAAATAAAAATAATTATAAAAAATACTTTATAATATATTTTCAAATAAAAATACTATATACCATATTACAAAACACACTCTAAACAATAAAGATTGATTATTAAAAAAAAGAAGTTAAACAATCAATGGTAACCGTTCAAAGCACTTTTGTTTTTTAAAAAAAGGTTTTAGAATAGGTAAACAATGAATTTCAAGAACAGAGTTATAAAAATTAACTAAATTTAGCAAATAACTACCAACCATCGTGATGTTTGAGCCATTAATTGAGTTAGTTTATCCAAGTTTATTAAAAAATATAATTTATAATTAAAATTACAAAAATAAACTAAATTTAGCAAAAGGTTTGGGTCATTAATTAAGCTAGTTAACCCATATTTATTAATAAATAAGTAAATAAATAAAACAATGTTGTTTGGGATATTTTTTTTAAATAAAATTATGTTGTTTTTAATAAAAATTTAAATAACAATCATTGATTGAGTCATTTAGATCTAACAATATCAAGTCCGTGAGTGATTCAAAAACAAAATTGATCTAAATTAGATATTAAATTGACAAGTTATCAATTAGTCCAAACCTAAATAGATGGAAAATTAAGTTTGATTAACTTGATGGAAGAGTACAGTAACTTCTATTTTTAGAAGATTTTCAAAAATATATATTTTTTAAAATATTAAATTAATATATTTTTTATTTTTTAAATATACTAATATAAAAATTTTTAAAAATATTTTAATATATTTTTAAAAACACCTACTGCACATTACCCAACACCATAAAAATAATTATAACAAATCCGCTTGTCGAGGTTTATTCTCCCCTGTAGCAGCCTCTTATTACACACGTAAATACAAGGCACAAACCCTCCAAAACTCCAAAATCGCCGCTCATGGAACAACACAAAAGAAACAACAATCTTTGAAGTTCAACAGTACACACGCGCCAGCACAGTAATTTCTTAACATTTTCCACCGCGTTTCCTCTCACTATCCTTTTCTCTCACTTGCTTTTGTCTCTCTTGTAGTTATAACTTATAATCCCCCTGGGTTTCTTTCCCTTGTTCAGAAAAATAAAGACTTTCATAGGATGCCTATAAGAGAACTAGAACACACTTATTCTCTTCGAATTCTTCACTTTTAGTGAAAATCCCCATCTGGGCATCCTTCAAAATCCAATCTTTTCTAAACCCAACATGCCTTTGCCATGGAAAAAGAGCAGAGTTTCAAGATTTTCACGTCTTGTGGCAGATCTTCAGTCACCAAAAAGAGGGAATTCTCTTGTTGTTGAGACTGGTTTCCCTACTTCTCTTATTGATCTCTTTCACAAGAACCGTGAAAGGTTAAAGAAACTAACTGCCAAGAAGAAAAAGAGGAGACAACAACAGTTGCAAGAGGTGGAGGAGGAACTTGTAATCTCTGATCCAATTCCTTTATCAAGTACTCGAGATTTGGTGGATGTACCAGAGCCTATTCAGAATTTGGAGAATGTGGAAAGTTTTGATGCTTGTGAATTGGTGAGTCAGTTATTGCCTGTAGTTGAAGGTGTTGATGATGTTGATAATGTTACGGTTACTGATAAGAAATGTTGGGGTGAGAAAGAGAAACGTTTGTTATTTGTGGTTTTGAAGATGTTTTTGGTGTTGGTTTTGGGTTTAAGTACTAAAGGGCTTGTTGTTGGGATAACAATGTCTGCTTTTGTGCTCATTTTTCTTGAATATGTTGGGAAACATGTGTTGTGTTTCTTGAAACCATGTTTGACTGTAGAGCTAGTCTTAGAACCTTTTGTCGAAAGGGTTTCCTCATCATTTTTTATGTTGAAAGGGGTAAGGAAATGTGAAGATTCGAGTAAAGGATTGACCATTCAAGAAATAGATCAAGAAGAAGCTGTTAGTGGGGTTGATTCATGTGATTTGATTGAGACTGAGGAAATTCAAGCTGTAGAATTTAATTTTGATATGATTGTGCCAGTCGAAGAAAATAGGGGAGCCGAATCAAGAATGGATTTACTCAGTTGTGATGGGAAAAAGATCAGGATATTGGAGATAGAGGAAGATAGAAGTGGAGTTTTGGTATGTGAAAAAGAGAAGAGCCGAAACTGTAAGATCAGAAGAAAGATTATACAGAAATTAGTGCCCAAGAAGTTGCGCGCTGTAAAGAAGGCAAAGAAGAATAATGAAAAGGAACCAGATTTTGGTAGTGAATCATCTAGCTGTTGGGGAGACGATGAGGGGAGAATTGAAGGGCTAGAAGATGGTGATAAACAAGGGTTTGAAAACAAAGGCAAAGTTTTGCTATCAGAGTTGCTAGAAGAAGAAGAAGAAGAAGAAGAAGAGGAAATAAATGAGAGAAAAGGAAAAGAACCCTATCAGGGAATTTCTAGTTCTAGCACTGGATGGCAGGCTAAAATGGAAGTGGTTGTAGTCGAAAAGGGGAAAACCGAAAAAAAGGGCAGTTCAGATTACCTGATTCTCATTTTTGTTGCGCTTGCTGGACTTGTAGGAGGTCGGAGTCTATCCCTTGTGCTTACACTTGCATCATGTTTGATGATAAAATTGGTTGCAAGATATAGATGTGTAAATGAGCCTATTAATAGGTCCCCTGCTTCAATTTCAAGCTAGGATCTTTGGTGATCTTTTGTTCAAAAAGGGTCTTTCTTGGTTTTTACAATTTATTTTTGCAGTTTTTGCTTCTGGGGAAAGTGTTCTTCAAGCGTTCAAACTGTATAAAAGATGCTCAGTCTGGTGAGCAATCACAACCTTTTTGTTGGGATTCCAACTTGAGGTGTTGTATCCTGAACTGTAAATTTACAGACACAGAATCAAGATTCATAAATACTTTCAATGCTTAGTTGGTGGAAATTTTCTGCATACACGTCTTGGTTTTATTTCATTTTAAGAAGCTTCATCAGGTCTGTAATTTTAGCTCTCTCAACTGCTAGAAGACCCATAGAAATGTTCAGCTCAGGTGCATTAAGCATTATCTATACTGCAAAAGAACTGTCAATGCACGTGTTTGAGGTCGTTCAGCGTTTCTGTGAACATTTTCATCCAAATTTTCTCGTCTTGAGCTTTAGAATTACCAGTTGCTCTAGTAGATTCACAATGTGTTGCAATCTGATAAAAGTTAAGGACTGAACTTGAAGTTATAAACATCAGTTTTTCTTCAACGAAATGTCCTGCTTCTACACACTGTATCCACATGAAAACATAGATCTATTGCTTAAATACAGGGAAGGAATGGAGTTGTGTTCTTCCATCTATCAACCACTCAATGCAAGTAACATTCACAACTTCACATCATGGTTTTACATCCACAAAACTCATGCCAGGCGCCTTTCTTGTGTCAAATTCTTTTATGATTTTTCTAGTCTCTGCAACCTGAGCCCATTGACCTGCCAGGGCATAGAAGTTGGATAGCAGGATACGAGTTTCATGGCTTTTAGAACTCAACTTCGACGTTTCATTTGCAACCTTCTTTCCGAAATCAAATTCTGAATACTTCATGCAAGCACTCAGCAAAGTTTTATAAGCTATGAGCCTTTCCTCAGGTAGCAGCAACTGAATGAACTCTTCTGCCTGATGCAAAAGTCCCGCTCTACTTAGTAGATCAATTAGACAGCCAAAGTGCTCAATCTTCAGTTGCATTTTGTAATCACTGACCATACTTTTGAATAATTGGCAACCTTCTTTAACCAACCCAGAATGGATGCAAGCTGTTAACACTGAAACAAGCGTGGCTTCATTCGGCCTAATTCCTTGGTTTTCCATCCGATTAAACATGCTCAAAGCTTCATTCCCATATCCATTGTTTGCAAGCCCTTCAATCATTGCAGTCCAAGTAAAAACATCTGTGTATTCCATCTTATAAAAGGTAACCAAGGCCTCCTCCACGCTCCCACACTTCGAATACATAGTAATCAGGGCTGTTTTCAGAAAAACATCCTGTCTTACATTGCTATTCCGGTTAATGAACCGATGAAGAAGCCGAGCACGCTGCAGGTCCGATATGCTAGCACAAGCTAAAAGAACACTAACCATCGTATTTTCATCTGGTATCACCCCCGCACTATCCATTTTCTCAAAAAGGTCCAACGCCTCATTCGGACACTCAGCCTTAACATACGCATGAACCATCAAGTTCCACAAAACACGATCTTTATCAACAATCTCATCAAAGACATCGCGAGCCAAATCTATCAGCCCCATCTCAACATAAGCATTGATCAAAATCGTATACGAGACAACATCTCCTTCATGGACAAATTCATCAAACATTTTCGACGCTTCATCAATTTCTTTGCATTTAATGTAAAAACTCAACAACGCATTATCCACATTCAAAAAACATCCAAACCCCACTTTTATTACATAGCCATGGACTGACCTTCCATACTCTAGACCCTCCATTTGTGCCTGTGCACAAGCTGACAATACAATCACCAAACTGATCTTATCAGCTTTAACACATCCACACATCAACTTTTTGAACAAAACCATCACTTCAGTGAATGAATTATTGGTATTATAAATGCCCATCAGAGAATTCCAGCTTGCAACATCTCTTTCAGGCATTCTATCAAACAGAAAGCAAGCAGCAGTTGAGTTGCCCACAGAGCCATAAAAATAGACAAGAGCATTTTGGACGTAAATGTCAGAATCTAGGCCAGTTTTTATCACATGGGTATGCACTTGTTTGCCATTAGAATCAGTAAACAAACGTGAACAGGCCTTGAGTAGACATGGGTAGGTGTAGTTATCAGGTCTGGTTGAGCATGTTTTAATGAAGAAGTTGTAGACAAGAATGGCTTTGATGGGTGTGGTGGGGCTTCTAGAATAGGCTCTAATAAGGCAGTTCCATGTTGGGGTGGAATAAGTGAAGCCAGTTGTGATGGTTTGGGTGAGGATTTGATCAAGAAATTTGATGTTAAGAGCTTTTGTTTTGAGGGACAAGAGAATTTTTTGCAAGTTATTGTTGCACATTAGGATATTGTGATTGGTTTTTGCTGTTGTTGGGATAGGACTATGACAGTAGAAAGAGCTGTCAGCTAGTTTCGTGGATTAGCATAGTAGTGGTGGTGTCTTGTTATCAATAAAGCTAAAAGTTTCCTACACCCATTAGCAATATCAATTACAATAATAATTCACAGCAGTGTTGGTTTTTTCTTCTCTTTTTTTCTAGCATTATGAATTTTTTTTTCTTGATTATTGATTGGTTTTTTTTTTAAAATTCACTCCTTGTTTATATATATATATATATATATATATATATATATATGGCAATGAAAAAAATCTCATCATTGTGGTATGATTTATTTTAAAAAAAATAATTTTTTAAATTTTTTTTATTAAACTTTATAAAGTTAATACATCAGTTTGAAAGTTTGACGAGATAATTCTAGTTATTTCTGTTTTCGAGTTTAGTTGGATACTTTTTTATTTTTTAATTGCACTCAATTATATGGTCGTCTATTTTTTTTATTATATAATTAAAAAATAATTAAAAAATATATTATTAAATTTTAGAAAGTTCATTGACCTGTTGACGTATATGACGAATTTAACTTCTTCTTTTTTTATAAATTTACTTTTATAATTTTATTCTTTGTTTTATGAGGTTATTATAATTTAAAAAAAATCTCAATATTGGTTTGATTCTCAATTTTATGATTGTTTATTTTTATTATCATATATTTAAATAAACAATAGTTTAGAAGAAAAAAATATTAATCCCAATAGAGTCTATTATCCAGTTTGTGGGTTTGATATATTAATTCGGGTTACCTAATTTACAGATTTAGTGGATTTACCCATCAAACCTAATATTTTTTTTTAAGTTTTTGGTCTTTTAATTTTTTTAATTGTCTTTTTATTTCACTTTTATTTAATATTAGATTGGTTGAAAAATAAAATTTATGATTTTTGTTTTAATTTCTATATGATTATCATGATTTCAAATAAATATCTTTTTTAGGGTTGTTATATAATTTTAAAAGCATAAAATGTTATCATAAAATTAAATAAAAATAATTTATAAAAATAGTAAAGTTATCAAATTTATTAAAATTCATGACTCAAGTCACAAAATGACAAGATCGATCTAATCTGATATCTTTTTAATATAAAAAAAAATCATTTTAAAATTTATTTTAAGTTATGTCATATTTTTTATTAATTATTCAAATTATTTATTAATTTTTAAATTAAATAATTAATTTTAAATTAATTCTTACATGATTTAATTCAAAAACAGATTTAAATAAAAAAGCTTAGTTCATAAATTTTAAAATTAAATAATTTGATTGAATTTAATAATAATAACAAAAACAACTTCACGCTCAATATTTTTTTAAAAAAAATTAAGAGAAAAAAATTCTCAGCCTGCAGCGGAGTGTACCACTGTTGTCTAAAGTCAGCCATTTCAATAATTCACTTCGGATTCTCATTTATGGCAAAAAAAAAAAAAAAAAAAAGGTGGTGGTCCAGGTTTGAATCAAAATAAAATAATTTATTGCATTTATATCATTTATCTTGAAATAATGACCAATTACCATCTAAATATTTAGCTGCAAGATGAAGACGAAAACAAACGGATAAATATGTATATGAAATGATTTTAGAGTGAAAATTTGTCCTAACTAAACGTGTCTGCAGAATGGTAAGGTTTATTGTCAGCAGAATGGTAAGGTTTATTCTTTCTACTGTTCATGGCCATTTGTGACCAGTTGGACTAATTGGACCTTGAGGAATGAAGTTGCCTTTCAGTCAGGAATGACTGATTGATCTCTTGTTTTCTCATTTATATTACGGCATACTTAGTATATGACTGGAAGAAATTTTTGCAGACTTCCATTTTGGCGATCAAACTCAGAAGGCAGCAGCATATAAGCAAACTATAAATTCTGGCGAACTTTGTGGAAATCTTGCGAACATTTTGTAAATAAATTGTAAAAATTAGAATAAATGGTGACTAGACGAACATAATGGTAAGAAAGGAGGAGATCTTCTTCCGTTCAGGATCCATGACAGTCTAGAATTGAGCTTGAAGTTTCACAACTACGGACTTGTCCACCTGGAAAGCCTTGGCTAGAATATCATTTGGAATGCTTGGAGTAGATCCAAATAGGGTATTAGCAACGAGAACAACACCGGGGTTTTGGCTGCTCAAGGAAGAGATCGAGAAAGCACTTCCGAGGCCAACATTTCTCTGGAAGTGAACGAGTCCAATTGGAAACACAAACACATCACCCTTTTCAAGGACCTTGGTGATGAGCCTGTTATCAGGGTTAGAAGTCACGAAGCCAACAAGGAGTCTGCCTTCCAAGACGGTGAGAATCTCAGTAGCGCGAGGGTGTGAGTGAGGAGGGATCAGGCCCCATGGTGCATAGTCAATGCGGGCCATCGAGATTCCAAGGGTGTTGAGTCCAGGTATTTGTCCTACAAAGGCCGGTGTAACTGCTGAGCCAAGGGCATTTGATGTGTTTCCTGGAATATGGAGGCCGCTGAAGGAGAAGTGGTTGGCTTGTACCATGTTTGAGTCCAAGCAAGCTAGGCCATTAACTCTTGCTGCATACCAAGAAAAACGTAATAGACATTGCATAACATTTTGATGTTTTTGGAATAGCAGAAGCACAAACATTACTGTAACTAAATTTTATGCAATTAAAGTTACTGCAGTATCAGTAAAATCCTGACCTGAGCTAGTAGGATCGGCAACGCAGAAATCTTGCAATGGACTAGGCTCAAAGGAAGCGACCATGGAAAAGGAAATGGATATGAAAGTTGAAATAACCAAAATGCGATTAGCCATTCTGATTCTTCGAAGTTGTTTGAGAGAAACTGATAAACTAGTACTGATGAAGTAAGTTTT